ACGCGGCCGGCGGGCCGGCCCCCGGGCCCTCCGCCGCTTTGCTCCCCATCTCCCTGGTCTGCTGGCTCCCGCAGCAGACCAGGGAGACGGGGAGCAGCTTTTCTCGCCCCGGAGGAGGTGGGCAGCGGGACCAGGCGTCCCGCCGCTCGAGTCCTCCGGGGCGAGAAAATCCCCGTTCGTAACTGCGGATCCGACATAAGTCGGATCCACGTAACTCGGGGACTACCTGTATATAGTTTCTGGTTCTGCTCATCATGTCTTCAATACTTCGTATGCACTAAGTATCTTTTTAGAAGTTAAGAAAATAATTCATAAGGGCAACGTCTACACTGGCCCCTTTTCCGGAGGGGCATGTAAATTTCACTAGTCGTCGTAGGGAAATCCGCGGGGGATTTAAATATCCCCCGCGGCATTTAAATAAAAATGTCCGCCGCTTTTTTCCGGCTTTTAAAAAAGCCGGAAAAGAGCGTCTAGACTGGCCCCGATCCTCCGGAAAAAGTGCCCTTTTCCGGAGGGTCTTACTTTGAAGTAGGAATAAGACCCTCCGGAAAAGGGCGCTTTTTCCGGAGGATCGGGGCCAGTCTAGACGCTCTTTTCCGGCTTTTTTAAAAGCCGGAAAAAAGCGGCGGACATTTTTATTTAAATGCCGCGGGGGATATTTAAATCCCCCGCGGATTTCCCTACGACGACTAGTGAAATTTACATGCCCCTTCCGGAAAAGGGGCCAGTGTAGACGTAGCCAAAGCGTGTGTAAAAAGGAAAAAAGTCAGTTTTGTCTTTTAGTTCTTATTTATTTTAATATTCTCACCTGCCCTTCTACCTGGCTATCTCAAGCAAGTTAATTTTAATCTGTATAGCAGTTGAGTGAAATGTAACAAACTAATCCAGTTGGCCATATTTATTTTGGTAGAACAAATAATTCTCTGTGAAAGGGCTGCACGTTGACTATACTTATACTATTAAAGTGACCTCTACATTTAGTTAATAGAGAAGAATGAAGTGAGACACTAGGCTTGAAAAGTAGCTTGTATGTCATGTCTTTCTGTAGCCCTTGGAGTGAGTGAGGGAGGAGGGTAAAGTTGAGTAAATACTGTTTTGTAGCCTGGAGAGCGCCTAGGCTACAGTAATGCAGCAAAGTGCCTTCTAATGTATTGGCTTGAGTCTTAATGAGTAAAAACCTTTTGTCATTTGCTACAAACTGCACTTTTTTGTCAATCAAGGCAGGGCCATAGGGCACATCTCTGTCCCCATGGGAGTCAAAAGCAAACTCCCTAGCAGCAAAAGACTCTTATCTTCCCAGGGTAATGTGTTATATTCCTGGATATAATTAAATACTCATGGTAGGATTCAGATAGGCAGATTCTCCTTGGACTAGTTTTAGTACTGTGATTGTAAACGGATAGTTCTGTCATGTAACACTTAATTGTATTTGTTTCAGCTCAAATCTGAATATCAATGATGTCTTGGGAAACTACTCTCTAACCTTGATTGATGCACTGGATACCCTAGCGGTGAGTTCTCAAAACACAAAAATACAAATCTTCAGATTCGTAGCAGAAGGTAAAAATCCACAAGTTGCAGTGGCTTAAATATTTTCAGACAGTGCAAGCCCAAGAGGAAATGGTTGGTGACGAGTTGGGGTTTTTTTGTGAGGGAGGAAGTTAAGTGGCAGGGGAAGGGAAGGAAAATTTAAGAGGCTAGCATGCTAGTGGGAAAAGACCAAGGAGGTAAAACAGAATCTTTAAGCTCTTATCCAGGACTCAGTTGTTCAATTTTTTTTTCAAGGCAACAATTCTGTAAAGCATTCTTGAGTAGTTCAGACACCGTACATATGTTAAATGGACAAAACTCTAGAATTTTTGAAATGGAAGTTCTTTGAATCAACACAAGTAAGTAAAAATCACCCGAAGGGAAGTTCAAAAGGACAGTGTAGCAGATTGATAAGAACAAACTGAATTTTACAAATTAAGTTAAATTCATTTTAGTGTGTCTGGGTAGTATTGTCAGTGATGAGTCTCTTAGCTAATTAAAACCTGATGGCAGTGTCTTAACTGGAGAGAGAGGAATTGTCTGAAAGACAAGTGAATTTAGTAGGGGGCTTGTTAGGAGTGGAACATTCAACATGCTCTTGGAATATATGGTTCTGTTCCTGGCTTGCGTTCTTTGCTATCCCAACGTCCTAATCCTTGTGGCTACAATAAGTTTGAATGTATTTTTTAAAAGTTGTCTTTCATTGGTCCTGTATCAGGCCTAGTTAATACAGTTCAAATGTATTAAGAGCCGGGTGTGGAAGAAGCCCAACTCCTTAAACTGCATAGTCACAGTGGGAGGTAGCTCCTGGACGCGGTGCCAACTGGGACTGAGCCAGGTCCAGCAGCTCCTGTCTGCAGGGGGGTCTGAGTTCCCCGCTGGGATGCTCCACAGACAGGGGCTGCTGCCGGAGCAGCTTCCTGTGACTCCCCCCTGCACTGCTGTCTCTGATAGAGGCAGCAGCACGGGCGGTGGGGAGAGGAGGGGGCAAGTGGAGATTTTGCTGGGGGGAACCAGCTTTTAAGCCAGCTCCCCCCAGCACTGGCTACTGCTCCCCCCCTCTTGCTGTCTCTGATGTAGAAGCAATAAGGCTGGGGAATGCAAATAGGGTAATCAAGTCAACTACAAGCCTAGGCCTATAGGGTAGTCAATTAATCCAGTGTTTCTCAATCAGTGGTATGAGTATCTTTAGCAGCATTGGAGTATCCTTAGCAGTATTTGAGAGAAGTCTGGGGGGGTATGTCAACATAACTGAAATTTGGAGAAAACTAAGTTTTTGTTTTAAGTTTAACTGCTTTATTATTTTTGTACTTTTTACACCCAAACATTTCATTGCCCACCCGGCTATGATGAAATTGTTTAAATAAACGTGTTGCAATGGTAGAAATTTTTTGTGTTGGAAAACTGTAGGTACTTTTTTAAAGGGATACTTTATAAAAAAAAAAAGGTTGAGAAACACTGGACTAATCGACTACTCTTTTACATCCGTAACGTAGATGTGCCCTAATTTAATATCTGCTTCAGTATAACAAACATACCTATTTCTGTCTTCTTCCTTCACTTTAATATGAGACCTGATTGTGTTCTGTGTACCTTTTTGTACAGCAGGCTACACTTTTTACCTGTTAGACTTTTTTCTCTTAACCAAAATTTTATACTTACTTTTCTGAAGTGAAGAGTTTTCAAACTGTATGAAGTCTTGAGTGGCACACCATTTGAAAACGTGTGGAATACAGAAAAAAATGCTTTTCCTATATGATGCAACTTTAAACATGTTTTCCATAATCTCATTTTTTGCATTGCAAGAGAAGATTTTTTTTTTAACTTGGCGCTTTTGAATGCAGTAATGTAACTACCATCTGTCCCTAGCTGTCATGTGGACAGTGTCTTTAGTAAATGAATTCTGCAGTTGTGTGCTTTTTCTTTCATATACCATATTTCCTGAAAGATCACAGCGTGTGGGTTCTCCTCTCCCCTTCCCCCCCAAAGTAAAGCACGTATCACTAAAATGGGCATGCATTTCTGTGGTGAAAAGCTGCAGTTGTGTGATGGAACACAATAATGGTTTATAGAGCTTGAAGCAGGAAGTGAGGGTGAAAAATGGGGAAGACTTTAGAATGCACGTACCCAAGCTTAAATGTGGCTTTAAAAATGAATGTTGATATTTCTGATCTTGGTTTTAAGAGTCACATTATATGCTGTCTTTAATGATCACAGGGCTGATTGTATTTTTTAATTTCTGAAGGATATCCTCTCCAGCGGTATGCTGCTGTTCAGAATAGGGATGTCAATGTGTTGTCCACTACACGATTAACTGATAAGTCTCGGCTTGTTGGTTAATCTTGTCGACTACATATATTCCATTCCTCCCTTGTGGTGTCTATATCAGGGCCTCAAGAAGGGGGGAGCTGGCTTAAAAGCCAGTTCCACTCAGCATGGTCTCCGTGGTGTTGCCTGCCATCCTCTGCGCTGCTGCTTCTATTACAGGCAGCATTGCAGTGAGTGGAGGGGAGGTTGCCTCATGGACAGGGGCTGCAGCCAGTCCTGCCTCTGTCAGCTGCCTCAGACAGATTGCTTTGCAGCAACATCTCTCGGACATAGGGATCTGTGTCCATGGGGAGCTTGGACCCCGTCCCGTGGACAGGGCTGACGTGGCTCCCTGGGAGTGGCTGGAGCACACTGAATACCGGTCCCATCCCTGGGGACTATAGAAGAGTCAAGTAACTGATAGGCTTTAGTGCAGACACTTGTCTATTCAATTAACCAATATCTAACATCCCTTGTTCAGAGCCACATGAGAACATTGGTCATTCTAATGTACTAAGCCATACTGGGTCAGACTGAAGGCCCACCGAGCCCAGTATCCTGTTAGCTGACAGTGGCCAATACCAGATGCCCCAGAGGGAGGGAACACAACAGGTAATCCTCACGTGATCCCTCTCCTGTCACTCTTTTCCAGACCAACAGAGGCTAAGGATACCATTTCTACCATCTTGGCTAATAGATTCATTGAGGTTAGGTCCATCAATGGCTATCTAGCTCTTCTTTTGAACACTGTTAAGGTGTTAGTCTTCACAACATCCTCTGGCAAGGAGTTCCACAGGTTGACTGCTCTGAGTGAAGAAAAACTTCCTTTTGTTTTAAACCTGCTAATGATAGTAATGATAAAAGATCCATTCTGAATATCCACTGCTGTTTCCTGTCGTTCTTTTAGGCGGTGTGTACCTATTTGAAGTCTTCCACCAAAGTACTAAACCTGCTTTACTTTATATCCTTATTCACAAGACTCAGCTTTCTTTTGTGATTCAAACTTTTTCCATTACAGGGTTCTTGCAGAGACCTCCTCAGTGCACAGCTGCAAGACAGACTCCCCTTGCAGTAGCAGCATTCATTCTGAATACTTACCTCATTCTGAGCGCTCATTCTGAATGCTACCGTCCTTACAATTCACTTGTTCTGCTCCCCTGTGCGATTTGTATACAGTAACAACTATTTTGTAGTCCATAGGTGTGAGACTGGCAGCCAGTGTGCTCCAGCTCCACTCTGTGGTGTGCCAGGCTGGAGCCTGTCTGCGACGAGAGCCAGTTTAAAAACCAGCTCCCTTCAAGGACTGACCGGCTGCCTGTCGCCCTGCCCTGCTGCTTCTGACACTGGCAGTAGCACAGGGTGGCAGCAGCCCTTGTCCAGGGTTGGGGCTGAGCTCCCAGACTCCGTGTGAGTCAGGACTGAGCCAGCCTTTCTCGTCCTAATACACTTTAAATGCAGAGCTGCTGTCGGGGTAGGTCCCAGATCCAGCATGAGCCAGGACTGAGCTGGGCTGCTGGCCAGCCTGCTAAAAAACGTTACCTGCTGAGAATGCGTGTAGCCTGTAGCATTAACCTATAGGATTTTTGCTTATTGATTAATCGACTACACTATTACATCCCTAGCCTGAACAGAACTTATGATAGTCCTTCCTTGATTTTGTAGTTTTCCTTGAATTCTGAGCTTCTAAAGGAAATCTGCTTGCTTCTGTTGCCCTCTACATGGAAAAAAAATTCTCTTAACTTCCTGCCGCTAATGTTACTAAATCAAGAAATGTAACATCTGCTTACAGGTGCAGTTGGCATAGGCCTTATTAGCATTGGGTAGTTAAGTCAGTTGTTTCTTTGTTTCCCCCTTGTCTCCTGTAAGCTGTAAGGAATGCATGATGGATCTTTAAAAACAAAACAAGGCACATGGGTATCAACAAATAATGTAATTGAACATAACAGTAAAGTTAGTGACAGGAAAGAAAGGGCTAATTATTGATTATTGGATATTTTTATTTGTCTTGTGTCAGTAAGATTACTGAAAATGCTATTTTGATTGAGGCAGACGAATAAAGTGAATTAAATAGGGCACAAATGCATTGTAGCTGTTCTAGCTGCTTTTTTGTACTTCCAGCACTACAACCGCTTTTGTGAAGTACTCCTGCCTTGTGTGCTGGGATAAGTTTTGAAAAGGTGCTGTATAGGAGGAAAAAGGACAAGTTAGTGTTTATAAATAGAAACACTGACTCTGAATATAAAAGGCACAACTCTGTCCAGATCACACATTTCTGAGTTAAAATAAAACTGCATTAATTCTTTTTTTTCTTCTGTGCAGTCACCTGACAGACTTCTCCATGTTCTTTAATACTTGTCTTTGATTTTTAAAGATAATGGGAAATTCTTCAGAGTTCCAGAAAGCAGTGAAGTTAGTGATTGACACAGTCTCATTTGACAAAGATTCTACAGTCCAAGTCTTTGAGGCAACAATAAGGTATGTATTCACAACAATCTGATGAAATAACCTGAGGTTTTACATAGGTGGGAAGACAAGGAAAGGCTTCTTTGCTCAATAAGAAATGTACTCGTCCCGAAAATTTCATTGCTTCTTAATTGTTCACTAGGCATCATTTAGATTCAGAGTGACTGGAAAGTGTACTTATTGAACTAGCTTTCAAGTGACACTATTGGTTTTTTTTTTGTGAAGTGTCAGTGTTAAAGCAAAAGGTATGCGTGCTGTGGTGATCACTTAAAGTAGTCTTAATAATAAGAATAGTTAAAAGAAACTCTGCATGCTGCTTGCTCAGTCATTTCAAAGTACAAGACAGTATTTTGAGAGAGGAACAGTTTTTTTGAGAGTTTATTCAGTGTACTGATATAAAATATGTTGTTGCAGTCCCTAAAAAGGAGCTCCTATCAGTATGTGTAGTCAGGCTTGCTATAACACATCAAAATAACATTCCAGTATAACTGAAGTTTTGCCATGCCATGCACTGGAATCTATGATCTGCAAATCTTGCTAAATGCAGAGGAAAAACG